GGAAAATGTGCAGGAATATTAAAGGAGGCGTGGCATATAGGGTTTGACACCTTTTACCAGCGAATCTCAATCATTGCTTCATTAGAAAAAATTGTATACAATTAAAGTTCTTGGAATTTCATTTATTATAAGAACTTTATACATCAAGGCAAGAATGGCAAATATTTTGAATTTTGTTTTGAAAATGAAAGATTTTTTTTTCAAGAGTGAGTAAACCGTACTTAAGCAACTTAGAACACCAATACGACTGCAGAGTCAAGTTTCTAAAAGATCATGTCACGTTGCAAACCTCAAACTAAAAAGTACTACAGCAATCTAAAATGTTATATGAAAAATTAATGCTAGTAATGGGAATAATTTGTAAATGACCTAGGGAGAAAATGTAAAACGAATAGTGTGGCACTTGCAACTGTCACAAACATTAAACCCTCTCTTTCGCTCAATCTATATCCATCTCCTTCCGTGCAACTCATCAATTTTCCGAGCACGTTCTCAAAATGTTTTTGGCGTCAGGAGAAGAGATGAAGTTACGAAGGAGCCAAAGGGGGGGATAACCACGAATTCCAATTTTGGCAAAAACAAGTGACAAACACCAAAAACAGGACACAAGATGGACGGAATGGCAAAAACAAGATTACTGGGTGTTTGGGGGGGCATTGTGAAGGGGCAAAAGGCCATCGCACTATTTATGTGTGAGAGCTGTAGTGTGTGTAGAAATTTTTCGGGCCAATAAGTCACACACCAATAAAAGCAAACAAAATACCAGAAACGAACGAACAAACAAACAAACAAACAAATAAACAGAGAAAGAGGCAAACATAGTCATCGAAATTGGCAACAGCCGGATGCTTTTGTTGGCCACCATCGATGGCAAAGATCATCCTGACAGAAGCAGAAGTTGTATCAAAAACTGGCCCAGAACCCAGACCCAAAAACAGACGCGTTAACAGTGATGAGCTTCTGAAAATGCAACTGTAAGCTGTCTAAAGAAATTAAAAAAAAAAACATATTGTTTTTTTCAACCTTAATTGTAACTTTCAGTGCGTAAAGCTATGATAACCGATAATTTTAAGTCTGCAACATTGGCAATCATTTCTCATTTACTAAATTGACCTTAAATAATGGTACTGTTAAGGAAAACTAGATAATGTAAATCTTGGAACAACTTATTGATTAAGGTTTAATAGCTAACTCTAGCTTGATAATCAAGTTTTAGTCTTTATAAATGACTTTAAAGTAGTGGGTGTTATCTCTGATAAATATTATCATTATTAAAATGAAGGTTTTGTAGTCCTCAGATCAAATCCAGAAAGAGGTGCGAATCTTATGACTAAATACGATATTTTTTATTATATATAAATTTATGGCTCGCAACGATTGACAGTTATATGATTTAGAATTGATTCCGAAAACAATTTTCTTTAAAGTGGTAATTTCTTTTAAAGTAGTCTGAAGAGGTGATTTTCTGATTTGTCTGTAAACAATTTTCAAGCACTAAATGAACTCATTCGGCAGGTGATTAACGAAAGCATGTGTAAAGGAAAGGAATTCGTCGGAAATTGAATCATCTCTATAGCTCCGAACCGCATTCTCTCTATATGAACGTATTGTATCTGTTTCTCTGGCGGCACTCATCTCTCATCGCTAATGGATAACGACTGACAACATCGATCCGAGTTGGACCCGATGACCAATTTCAGATTTGCAGCCTTATTTGACCAGACCGCAGCAGGCTCGTCTATTTCACAGTGCTGGTGTGTGTGCGTTTAGTTTGCTGCCATATTTATGCGTTCGCAATGCAGACGTTTTTAATGTCTTTTCTACAAGAACAGAAGGAGCAACAGAGCCGGCTGGAGCCAGCCTACTCGTCGAGACATGAAGGCCTCCTCTCCTCTTCATTATCTGCAGCCACAAATTGCATCCAGTGCAATGCCTTGGAGATTTCATGGCTGCCCAACATATCCAACATATCTCTCTGTAATCTTTGGCCTCTCGGTTGCCGAATTTTGCATAATAAGTGCAACAGCAACATGGACAACCACAAACCGCAAAAACAACTTAAGTGTAGGAAAAGCCCTCAAGGTGGGAATATTGGGTAAAGGCAGATTGAATCTGCCTCCATTAAATTGGAAAATTAAAAGGAGAAGTGACTGAACAATTATGCCTCATGAAAGGGTCAATTGGATGCTTTTGCAACTCAGTTGAAGTTACTCTTAGTTGCCAATTTCTAAACATGTTTGTTCATCTACAAAATTATGGCAAAGATTTTTGCTAATGAGTGTTGTACTTAAAATGTATCAGACTTGGCAATAAATTAACATGATTCTGTAAACCGTACGTATGTATTTAAAATATTGTGGTTATTCTAAGTTATGTTTTTTTTACAATAAAAAAAATTTATTATTATATGTTGTCTGTGTCCCATGATTCTTATAACAAACTGCTGATAAAAATTAACCGACTGTTTTTGAAAAATATTCAAATAAAATCCCAGTTTTTCCAACGAATTGGGTTTTAAGATATATAACTTTCTCAGCGGTCTTACCTGATCTTGAGCGTGGGTGGCGGCCACTAAAATTCCGAGGAGCAGGGCGATGAGCAAAAGCGGCTCTACGGAAATCTTCTGCTTAGGTTTCATTTTTCCAGTTGATTTTTTTCTGTCGTTCCTGGTTCTTGTGATTTCAGCTAATGACTTCCAGTTTTGTTTATTGATTTAACGATTAGAACTGGCGACAGCACATATACTTATATATATATTTATATATATATATATTTTTTTTCGAACTTTTCAAACTGGTTAGACACTAGAAAAATGCTGTTAAAATGCACACATGCGTTATTGAGATTATTTATTTGCTAGACACTATTTCCGAGGTGTTATCAATTAAATTTCAAAACAAAAGAGATAAAGATAGAGAGACAGGGTATTAATTAAACATTACACACTGTAAAATTAACAACAATTTATCGTATGCGCGCGCGGCTAAAATCAAAGAAAGGAAATAGAAGAGCGGGGGTAATAAACAAAACGTTTACGCAGAGAGAATGACACTAAAAAAAGAAGAGACAAGAGCGCAACTTCTGTGTGTGGGTGTTTTATTTTTTTTTATATACGATTATTTACAATTTATTTCTATATTTAAATCAAATGCATCAAAAGTTGCCTTTAAACACTTTGTTTTCTTCTGTTTTTGTATATTTCCCCTAAAATTCTGTGATTTTTCAACGAAAAAAAACACGACCGCCCACCACTACAACCACACTATTCGCTCTCTGTCTCCTCTGCCCTCTCTTTCCCACTCATGCCGCTTGGCGGCTTCTTTATGTGTCTTTTTCTCTTTTGCTTCGCCTGCTTCTTCTTTTCGTATCTTTCGGCCCGTTGTTTTGCTGTGTTTATTTTCGTTGCATTATTTTTCCATTTTTTGCGCACCTTTTCTTTTTAGGTATTTACAAAATTTGCACTCGCGATTTCATTTGATTTGTACAAATATCTTTACACTCGAGTGGCGACCAAACATTCACGAAATCGCTCAAAAATCCGGACGTGCCCACTCATTACCGTACAAATTTTTCGAATGATTTTCGGTAGAGCTGGAAATAAAGATATATATACATATATCGATATGGTGAATCGATATATATCGAACAAATATGTCACTCTGTCAGTATATTTTAATTTAAATGGTATTTGCGCGCAGCTGCGGTCACACCAGTGAAGCGCACTTCTTTCCTTAACCAACACTTGTTTTGTTTAAGTATTTTTTACTGAACAACGCGCCACTGTTAGTAAAAATATGAAACTTAACATTGCTGTTATGCTGTGTTTAATATTAAAAAACTCATCAATTAAATAAATCTTATTTTCAATTATATAAAAAATATCCGTCACTTAAATTCATTTAAGTTTAAGATATAAGTTTTTTTATTTCATTTTTTTAGACTGTTTAAACTGTGGTTTAAAATAAGCACTCAAATTTGGGACTAGTAAAAGCTAGTAAAATGGAATAAAAACATTTTGATATATTTTGTGAGAGACCTTTTTTTTAAGACAAGGATTATTCAAAAATATTTTTAGGGAAGGCACTGTAGTTAAGCCTTCATCATTTTTTTAAGTGTCAACTATTTCAGCAAATGTGTAACGAGGCCTTAATCTCATTAATAGGACCAGCAATACGGTTTAAGTCTTGGATATATCTCAACGGATTGCGCCTGAGCTGATGGTATTTTTAATGATATTTGTTCAAGTATATTTCCGGGTTCACGGCACGGTCATACTCGAAGCGAATATCGAAAACGAAACACATCACGCGGGCGAAATTTCGTGAATTCAGCATTTACAAATTGTAAGCAGTGGTTTTGTTAACCAATTAGTTAGTGTTTTTAAATAGTGATAGTATTGAATGAAGGAAATCTGAATAAACCCGCAAACGAAGCCGCCGAGTGCCCATCGATTTTTTCACGGCATTGCCGGTGATGGGACGCCGTTGATACACACACGCGCAGACACGAATGTGTGTATATGACGCGGCGCTTGTGTGTGAACGTATATTTGTATAAATAATATGACATAATCGACGTGTGCGGCTTAATTGACATAGTTTTTGTGCGAAGAATACCTAAAAGTGCGGCGAGACAGCCGAAAGAGGCGTCTCTTGTAGTCAGAAAGTGGCGAAAAGGACTTGCACCGCTATCTTTTCCCCGACTCTTTGCTCCAACAATTCGTTCCTCCCCACACACTCTCTCTTTCGCACACACACTCACACTTAAGCGCGTATATTTGGGCGTTGCAGGATGATGTACCTCTCTCTCTCGCTCTCTCTTTTTCAAAACTCCTGAATTTTTTGCGCAATTTGACAAATTGGTACCGCAAACGGATACTTTTGATTGTTTACCAAATTTAAATTAAACCCGATTTGGAAGCCAGTATGTCTGGGATTTGCTCAAGTCGAAATGGTTTTTAACGTCTCCTCTTTGCGTTGCCCAACACTGTTCACCCGCCTTCCAGTTCGATTCTCTTGCGCCGTTCTCTTTTGCGCTTCATTCGTGCTCTGGTCGTCGGACGTGTCCGTACGTTTTTGGATTAAGTTCTCGTAGGCAATTCAATTATTTATTTATTTGCAGCGGTGCGCGGTGCATTCTTTAAAAAGAGTTAACAGTGCAAAGTGCCGTTAGCAGCGGCCATCTTTAAAATAGTATTTACAGTTATTTGGTGTAGTGAAAGAAACCCAAAAAACTACAAAAATTATAATAATCAAATTTTATTCAAGGCGATTAAAAGTACAATTTTTAATCTTTTTCCCCTTTCCCTCCCCCTTTTCGTTAGTCTCTCTCTGTGGCCTATGAGTGTTTGTTCAAAATAGCAGCCGAAAACCGAGGTGCGAGAGCGAGAGTACATACAAAAAAACGCGTGCGTTCCTCCTCTAACTTACAGTGACTGTGACCGTTGTATTTGTTACCTGTGCCTGTGTTTGTGCTCACTGGAGGATCGACGATTTACGAAGAATACGAAAAATAACGGTGAGTGTCCCCATATTTCACATGTAAATGTTAAATAATCCCGCTTAGTATTGATGATCCACTAGTGCCCTGCATTCGCTTTTATTGTTATAATGATGAGCCGCAATTGCCCGGTGACGCCATCTTTTGTGCTTTTCTAATAGATGTTGTTTTTGTTTTTTGGGTTTGGTCAAGCACACGCAACTCGGTGTGAGTGAGAGTGTGTCTATTTTGCTGCTTTAAGCACAGGTCCGGATCTTGTGTAGAATTTTGGGAACTTTTATTTTTAAGTTTACACATTATAAAAAATTAAACGCGTTTTTTTTAATTTAGGTGTATGTGTTTTGGGGATACTATTTTCAGTTGCAACTCCCATTCCACCCATGCTTGAGCTTAATGTTCTAGCCACTTTTCTTCTCTCTCTTTTCGGGTGGGTGTGATTGTATGTTCGTGTGCTTTTCCTTTCCTTATGATTCACGCTTCTTTCTCCCTCCGACTTTCTATGCGCTTGTCAGATTATAAAAAAATAGAAATACATCTGCACGTCACACGCCTTTTCGATTTTCGCCGCCGATTTAAAAATATTTTAAGTTTTAGTTTTTTTTACGACAATTTGTTGCCACTCGCCAATCTTGGGAGTGTGTCTAATGCACTTGGCTGCCGCCTTGTCGCTAAAACAAATCGCCTGCTGGCGCGCATCTGTTGGCAAGTTTCGTGACCCACTTTTCCTCCTCGGTCTCTCGTCTTTCAGCAAAGTAAATAGCGAAAAGAAGCAACAAGTGATAAACAGATTTGTAAATATTGAAAACTTGTTTATGCCATTTGTCAGTGCAACCCAATGCCTGCAGACCTGATTTTATAGTTCGCAATAAGAATTCTTGCTGTTGGTTTTATTATTTTTGCAAGTATCGGACAATGATACTGGTTTAATACTAATTTGTTCCACTTCCACACAATTCTAGCCTTAAAATAATCAAACACTTAAAACTAAAAACACTAAAAAAATAATCTAAAAAAAATTTACTTGTGAATATAATACTAATGGGAAGAACAAAATATACAAATAGTGCAAGAAACACAAGTTGGACTGTATTTCTGCTCTGGGGCAATCTTATCAGAAACCTTCGCTCTTGTTACGTTTTCTGGTTAGATTGCTGTTCCGATAAAAGTACCTGTAAAGAGGGTACACTCATCTATAAATTTTAAGGATTGAATGTTTACATTGCTAGTAGCTTTCTAACCTACATTTAATTTTTACTATTTCCTGCTCATGATATCAAAATTTAGCATTCCATTGCTTCAGCTACCTTTTGTGGGATACTACATGACGTCATTTCGCACACAATACTTATAAAAAAAAAAAATGAAAATTGCTCTTTTTGTTTGCTGGCTTTTGTTGCTAATTCGAATTCGCTCATACACACACACGAACACACACTTTATAATTCAATGCTTTATGCTGCCTCCCCCTTTATCACCCCTTATCACTTCCACTTGCCCGTGTATTTTTCATTTGTTCCTCTTGGTCTGTTGTACGTTTTCAAATCGCAAATTAGACGTGACTCGTTCGTTGAGGGTTTCAATTGGTTTTTTTTTTGCTCACCACAATTTGCATGGCGAGAATTTACGAAAATCGTTAAGGCATTATTTGTATCTATATAAGCTGAAATTAAATTGAACTTGCATTACACATATTGAAAAGACCAGAAAGTGAGTGTAAAAGAGCAAAAAAAAATGACAAAAACCGTTATTTCCGCTATGAATTATACAAGTGACAAATCAGTGTGTGTGAGTGGCAGCGGATGTCTCACTGTATGCACAAAAATAAAATTGGACTCGATTCCTTTGATTATTTTACGTATTATAAGCTCTACAACTTTTATTTGTTATGTTAAAATACCCAAGCCAAAAATCCCACCTGTAAATTTATTTTTTAAATATCTAAACAATATTTATTAAGCTAACAAAGTATTAAAACTAGTATGGCATAAGTAGCATAGGTAGATTCAGATCACGTTTTTATATTTTAAATGCGTTTGAACTACTTTTTTTGTCTGTGTTGTCTCATTCTGACGGGAGGAAGTGCATAGTTAAAACTGTAAACAAACAATTGTTGAGGTGCCTTACTAAAAACAAATGTTTGTATGGAAATGAGACGGAAATTCAAATCCGTCGGACCCTAAAACTATTCAAAAAAAAAAGAGATAAGAAATGCGCTTCAAGTAGACGAAATTTCCAACTTTCTAACCTTTATTGAGGCGTGTCCATCAATGCAAATGCATTTGAGGGGCCAACGAGCCCTAATGACTTTTGATTGGGAATTGAAAATTGTTAACTCAAGCGTAATGCTATCACTATCACATCACTGGTGATTAATTAATTCAAAAATGTTAAGGAGGATTAACTGTATAATTTTGATTAATAGAGCTAGGGGTTTCCTTACGATACGAACCTGGCAACCCTGGCTAAGACCAACAACAAATTTGTCCCAGGGCAACCGTTTTAAATTTATGGCTCCCTAAAAAGCAAATACAAAAAAATGTACTCTGTTTCTGCCCCAAAGCAAATCGACGTGAAGATGCAACAGAGTGAGACGGGTAAAGCAAGGGAGAGAGACAGCCAGAGACCCACACATAAATAAATAAAAGAGGCGTACGTGCCAAGCTTCAAAACAGAGACACATAAGCGAGATTAAAAAAAGAGAGATGTTGCTGCTGGCTAAACAACTGCAGCTCATCAATAAAACAGCAAGAACAACAATAAACCAGGCAAAAGAGATAGATAGAGACAGGGATGGACAAGCAATAACAAATGTACAGTTGCAGAAGAAGCACAACCGCATCAGCCAACAACAAAATGCTGCTGCAACACAACATAAATCTTGGAAGAAAATAAGAAAAAAGAGTTGACTGCAAGTCGGAGCTTTTAACACCCTTTATATGGATTTTCATTTTTTTACTGTTTTTTTTTTAACACTTGTTTTGCATTAAAATTTGCGCCAAATTTTTTCCAAATTAAATCAAATATTATATGCAAAAGGTAATAGTTAATACATTTTCTGGGTTTATGTAAACCTTTTGAAAACATCACAGTTGTTTTTTGAAAAAATATTTGGATAGCCAGATTACAAGAACATAATTTGTGAAGTGCAGTTACCGTGAATGTGGTTGTCACTGTTTTCTGTTGTTGTTGCCGCTTTTAAAGCTCGGAACCCGCAGAAGGAAAGGAAAACAATGTGGCTAATTATACCAAAAATGTTGGGGAGCGAAGGAGAAAAAAATGTAGAAATTTTCTATAAAGATGGGAAGGCAGCAGGCAGCGGCGATGATGATGATGTAGATGTGTGTCTGCATTTCTTGCCTTCTTTAACATTTCTTGCTTGTATTTATTCTGCTGCGCTTGAACTTCAATTGAATTGTATATTCTCGTTGGCTTTGTTTTACTTATCTCTTTCTCTTTAGATATATTCCTCTCTTTCATCTGAAAGTGATTGAAAGCCTGTTATTATAGCGGTCTGTTCTGACTGAACTAAATTTTAAACTGGAATTTAGGCTAATTTGGTTCTCTCCCGTTGTGCGGGCGTGGGAAATGGGAACGAGTTTTTGTTTCATTCTTTTTTTTTTCATCGCTTCAAATTGCTACAATTTGTTGTAATTAATGTAAATACTATGGAATTAAATGTAATTTAGCTTTGCGGCTTGCAAACGTGACAACCTGAGCCTAATACAATAAATAGCATTGCAATTGCTCTTCCGGCCACTTCCAATAGGAAATTCTCTTGCCCGGTGATCTTTCCTCTTCTAATGGCTGGCTAACCCACTTTACTGGGCACAAATGTCAATAAAAAATCTGGTTTTCAAACAACTTCTGCATTGAAGCATTGCCAAACCACGAGGGCAACAATAAAGCTCTATAAAAAGACCATCATCATTATCATCGTCATATAACAATAGAGCTGAGCTGGAGCAACAATAAGGCAAACGTGTTGCTGCATAAATAAATTCATAATGCAAAAAAAAAAGATTACAAAAAAAAAAACAGAAAAAGGGGGAGGGCGAAAAAGCGATTGTGTGGCACACGAAAGAGGCGGCTTACATAATTGTTTATATCCTCCGAGTTTGTAAATCAAAACCAGAAGCGGCATCATTGCATTACCAATGTTTCGTGTCTGGGCTTTCACGCAGAAACATTTAGAGCGCGTTTATTGGCCAATTTCAGTCTGCAATTGTGCATGGCAAGTGAAATGTGCAAGATCACCTGAGCGCATCGGAGAAAGGTGTAATTAAATTAAAATATTTTCGGGTAATCTTTACATACATATGGTTGTCAGCTCATTTTGCGGTAATTTGTTTGCAAAAATTTGTTGGTCTCTAACTTTTTCAAGGCGGTGTTTTTCCTTTTCGGAATAATTTCAATTAGCTTACCTCCTCCTCAGTAATTTAATTATTATTCTGTTTGGTGGGAGCGTCTACGATCTGTGTACTATTGTGTGTGCGTGTGTGTGTCTGGGCAAAGCGCAATATAAAATACCGAGTAGTACGAAAATATTTTAACGCGCGCTAACTAAAAATATGCACATGACATCATCGAACTGAGGCGCTGACCGCAGAGCAACAGACACAGCATCTCAATAATTCTCTGTTTGTGTTGAAAGACAAGAAAATCTGATTGCCGAGAAAAGGGAAACTGCTCTCTTGTGAATTTTGTTAAAATATTTGTTTAGTAAAATAAATCCTTTTAGAGCTGTACTTCGTAAATTAAGTCATTGAAGAGTTCCACATTGTAAAAAGTGTTCACAAAATTTGCGCAAATGAAATTTATCAGAAGTTTTGTGTTTTAAGAAGATCCAATACATATTTTATTTTCCTGAATTATTTTTAATATTTTATAGAATAATGAAAAATGTAATTAATTAAGAAATATTTTCCTCCGTTTAACTCTTTTACTTATTTCGAAAATTTTTTAATTTTTCTTTGCAGGCACATCAATACAAAAGTATTATACTCACGCATCAAATTCAATTTTAAGGTGAGTTTTGGATTTACACACGACCATAAGTCAGGTGCTAAGCAAGCAAACAATAACAAAACGGAGCAAACAAACTCGAGCTACACATATTTTATGTTTTATCTGCCTGCAAATATTTGCTTAAAGTTTTTGCAATGATTGTGATGGAGGTCTCTCTTTCGTGTTTATCAACTCTTGTTTGCCGAGGAGAGGTTCGAAAAAAATTTATGGGGAGTAAAGGAAACCACACCTCTCTCAACTTTGAACTTTTTGCTTACGCCATACTTGAGCGGTATATAATTATATTCCGGGTTTTTTCTTATAGTTTCTGTTTTGTTTGCCAAACTAATTGAGAACTAATCGAGGCCGTGACCGTCAAAGGGAAATAAATGAATTGTATTTGCGGCACTCAAGCGAAAATTTCTGCCATCGCTCTTTGCATGGATGTAGAATTCATAATTTTATAATCAACAACTAATGATGATGTCATAGGGCGAGGCTTGTTGTCTTTTTGCGATAAGCTGAATGAAAAAGTATATCTGATTTTCAGCTGATACACATGAAGGTTACATGTAATCACAAATGTTTGCTTTTTTCACTCAGATATCTTTACGTGCCACGCATAACTTCACCTCTAATTCAATTAAGGATGACCTTTGTTTTACTGGAATGTTTCGTACATCATACATTCTTTATGCTCTCTTTCTGCTTCGCTTGAAATTGAATTAAAAGCCACTTAAGCGTTGAGTCTGTTTGGCTTTTTTTTATATACCGACTGTTTCATTTACGTCCATCTGTGTATGTGCGCAATGCTACATCTCTCTATGTAATGCAAAAATTTTGATTTACCCTTCGGGCATGGTACACTGCCAGTCAGTGCCGGCAATAAGGGGAGCAATAAACAGAGAGACAGCGGAGAAAATTGGATTGCTTTGCGTTCATCTAGCACATTTATAAATGGGTCATTGAACCAGACTGACTGAAGACCAACTTCGGTTTTCATTATTGTGCTTTTTTTTCTTGGCAATCGGGTTTAACCGTTTTCTATTCGTTTCATTTACTGGCTTTTGGCGAAGCCAATAAACAAGAAAACATACTAAAAGAAGTTGAAAATATTGCACGGTTAATTTTAATGAGCTTTTGTGCCGGAGGGTGTTTAATAGGAATTCCCCCTTTCTAACTATAAGTTTTGAAAAGCAAAATGTGTACTTGTTTAATAATTCTAACTTTTTGTTATTGTAATTTTATGTCGTTTTTGCATTTACACTCAGACTCTTTCTGTACTTTTAGAAATTTGTTTAAAATTGTTTCAAAATTTTTCTTAAGAGACAAAATATGTTAGTTAGGGCCCTTAATATTCTAAATACTCTTCATATTTTTAAATTGCTGCCCTGTCGACAGCCTTCAACCCTTTAATATCCCTTCAACAATTGCCAAGCAAACCGGATGCAGACTGTACCTGCAGTGCAATTAAAAGCCCATTTAGTGCTTCAAATATGTGTTCGTATCAAGATTAAGTTACTGTCGCTAAGGACATGTGTGTGTCGTTGGGTTTTCCATCGATTATTCTGGAAATTGAAATTAACCGTAAACACGCAGCAGACCCTGAGTTTTCCACCGCCACACGATGCCGGTCGCGTGTTGGGGGTCACCAGAGTTCAACCAACAACGCACCACCTCAAACCCCAGGACAAGTGAAATGAGGAGCGATTCCTTACGGAAAATACCTGTCCCGTGGCACGCCCGAGTTTTTATTGGGGTTTCCTTATTGTCCTTACAGTGTTGATTCCTTTTTTGTTCTGCTTTGTTTTTTGGGTTTTGTGGCCGGTATTTTCATGACCGTCGTGTTGCCATGCAATTTCGAAAGTCTATGGCGCCACAGAATGCCAGAATAGTGGCGCCACCAATTCAGCTTGCCGGCCGGGGAATTTTTCCGCGCGACTCGTAAAAATATCCTTGGAGTGGGCGGACTTGGGTGGCTTGGCTTGTTCGGCTGTTTTTGTTTGAGTTTCGTTTTGACAGGAAGTGACGTCATATTCCGAGGGATGAAGTTTTATTTGCTCGATTTTAAGTGTGTTGTGTGGGGTTGAGGAGGGGAGGTTTTGGGTGCGACAATGTCCTGGGTGATGTCATACTTCACAAATAAGATTATTTCAGCCCCCAATCGAGTTCTCAAGTAATGAATAGGTTGAAGAAAATAGCAAACCTAAAGACTTTTTTTTTTTTTTTAGAAAAAAATAATTATTTCATTTATTTCACTAATCTTAATGTCATTAAATAAAATAAGAGTTCATGGTTTCTATGCACATGATTAAAAATGTATTCCGATTTTATTGCCTTTCATATTTCACCATTCACTAAGCGTTAATTCATTTATTTTTCACCATGGACGTCAACCAAACTCAACAACTGTGAGATTTCAAGTTTATTTGGCAATTTTACAAACTAAATTTATGTGAATTAAAAATACGAAAATTGGGCAAGCTTTTTTCTGGCCTCTGGCCAAGTGAGTCAAAGACACCGAAGCAGCAAGAGGAGGAATACATTTTTTGTTGGACTCTACAAAAGGCTTTTAGCTTACATCAAGGGCAGAAAAAGCAGAAAGTCGAAAGCAAAGCAAACAAAACATTTTCCTTTCGTTCAACTTGACCACTTGTTGTTGTCATATAACTTTTGTTTTCCCCAAGCAGCAGCAATTGTTTTATTTATGCACTTTTCTCAAGTCTTTTTTCATACACAATGGGCGTTGGCGCCAACTTTGATGAGATTTATGTGCGGATTTTGTAATTCAAGCCACGCGACTCACACGCGACTTTCGGTAGCCGGATAGTAGTGGGGGTCTGGACCCAGAGAAGTAAAGTAAAATAAAATATAATAAATTTAAGTGAGAAGAGAAGTGTAAAGAAGAACGAAAGCGTACGAACCAGACAAACTGGCAGCTTGTTAGCAAAACAAACAAAATTAGCCAAGTGCAGATGAAGAGTCAGGGGCAGACAGAAAACCCAACGGCTAGACATGCTACCGCCGTATTAAGAAATTCTACACACGGCCCGAAGTCTAAGAGTGAGAAGATAAAGACATTTCGGCGATGACTGCTCACAAATACTACAGCTACATACACCCCGTCATTAGCTTTTCTATGTTTAGACGGTTATAATTACATTTAAAAGCTAAAGAGCAAAAAAGGGAGAAAAAAAGTCAATAATTAAGATCGTTTAAAAAAGAAAAAAAAATCAACATGTTTCCGCCCGGGATCGAACCGGGGGCCTTCTGCGTGTTAGGCAGATGTGATAACCGCTACACCACGGAAACAGTTGAAGTCGTGCCAGCCAAAAGAGCAATACTACTTTTCATGGTGAGGGCATCGAAGCGATGTGGAATGAATGGGAAAAGTGAAACATACCAATTTAAAGTTTACTATATTAAATATTAATTTTTATCAGCATTTATACAGAAGAATAATTTACATAGCATTTATCAGTTTTCATTGTTCTTAAATTGAGCGTATATAGCTATGCAAGACTCCAAAAATCGAACTTTCTTAGTTTATTTCTATATTTTGTCATTTCCGTGAGTTTTGTCATTCTTGGTAAACAAAAAATAAGAATAAAAAAGTACAACATGTTTCCGCCCGGGATCGAACCGGGGGCCTTCTGCGTGTTAGGCAGATGTGATAACCGCTACACCACGGAAACAGCTGAAAGCCAGGCAGCCAAATACCGAACAGTTTTTGTAAGACATATGAAAAGATTAATATGACATATGAATAAATTATGAATTAATATATTGTATTAATTAATTCAAACCACGAGAAAGAAAACTTAAATTTAAATCCATAAACATACATATTTTGACAAGCTGCATAGAAAATTTACTGACAGTAAAAACTTCTGGCTTCATACGGAATTACATGCAGAATAACTTATTTTTGTTTTATATATATAAATCCGTACATTTTCTTTTGTTAGCCAAAAAAAGAAAAAGAACTAAGTTACTTATTACTTAATTTGTGTGTTGTCAAAAATGAAAAATAAAAAATAAATTTCTATCGCAGCCGGTAGGATTCGAACCTACGCTCCCAGAGGGAATCTGATTTCGAGTCAGACGCCTTAACCACTCGGCCACGACTGCTTGTGGAGCGAGCGCGTCCAAAGTGAAACATAGCAGCTGGCATCGGGGCAGCAGCAGCGCAGCGCTCTCTTACTCATTCCTGATCTGGTGCGTGTTGTTAGTAATACTGGGGATGGTCTGGTGCGGAACGTTCTACTGCGGGACTAGCAATCATTGCCAGTTCTCTTTGACGACTTTTCGCAGATTAAAACGTATATATTTTCACGGTGTGCGCGTCGTCCCAGTGATCCACAACGTCAATTTTATACTAACAGTATTATAGATATTACCTCGGTGGTTTATGATTTATTTAAAACTATTTCACACCAAGCTTGTGAAAAATTATTAGCTCAACCTCGCAACAGGTATATAATTTGTTTGAGTTTATAAAAATTATGTACTTTTCATGACCTTATTTAGATTTTTTTTTTTTAAATATGCAAAACGTAATGGCAGGCGAAATAAACCTCTCGTACTTTACGTTTGCATCTTACAGTGTCAGGCCACAAATTGTTATTAGTTACACTTGTCGCTGGTTTATTGCAGTCGTTTTTGTTACTATTCTCACTTTTATTGCCGTCGTCGCAATATGTTTTTTTGAGGCTTGAAAAATCTTTCCACATGATCATCATCATCATTGGATCTGTCTATATGCCCCAATGAGTGACTGAGTGACTTGGTGCATTATTAAAACTGAATGGATTCATTTGCGAGCGACCTTATTGCCTGCCGCTCTTACATCTCGCACTTGAGGCGGTGGGACAGCTGTCTGCTCTGGACTCGATGGAGTGGAAGATTACGTAAGATCTCTTCCGTTGCGCGATAATTGAATACTTGGGAAATTTAATTAACGCCAGCATATGTGTGAAAACCATCATACATAGAGGGTGTTCGGTTCTCTGGGTCAATTGGCTGAGCTGCTAATTGGGGTACCAAATATTCTTTGGTTTAGAATTTACACATTATAAATTATAAACAATTGACCTTTGTGTTTAATTAAAGTAAAGAAACTTTGAGTAAAATTTTAAATTTAGATTTAATCTTTCTTAAAGTTTCTTTGGGTTTTGATGCTGATCAAGAATTTATGTTCACTACAATTTACTTTAAATTAAATATAATATAAATAAATATATATAAATAAATAAATATATATAAATAAATAAATATATATAAATAAATAAATATATATAAATAAATAAATATATATAAATAAATAAATATATATAAATAAATATATCTAAATATATATATATATAAAAAAATACTTGGTATTTTATAATGATAATTTGTAAACTTGTGTTATCTTGGCCAGAACTTGCCTAATTATCATGCTGTTAAGTTTGATATTTTGCAATCAGACAACTGTTATCGGCCTTGCCTTCATAACATTCTCAGCATTCTAAATGTTCATATATGTATGTATAAATTCTCGGTTTGCCGGCTTTGGAACCGGCACACTTTAACCATTGAAAGACATGGGTGTGTCCCGCGCCAAACAAGTGTGATGTAATTGCATAATGTCAACAACAATTGTCTGACGCTGAAGCGACGGTGGCGACGATGATGGCGTCGCTGTGTCGTTAGCTGCTCCTAAATTTAATTGTTGTCTTCCGCATAAAAAGGTCAGAGAGAAAGAGCCAAGAGAGTGATATGGACAAGTCGTCCTAACATTGCCAAAGTTCAATAAACCAATTGCTAATCATGCTTAAATAGAGTTTATTGTTGTCTTTAGACCATTGACACTCTTGACTATATTCGGTAACCAGTTGCTATTTTATTTGGGTGTTTGCGCAAAGCGACGGTTTGAATACTTTGTTATAAAATTAAGTCTCGCTACATTTTCGTAATGTCTCACGGAGCGAAAAACTCTTATTTATTGGGTTGGGAGACAAATACTTTATTTAAGGTATTTTAAACAATATAAAAGGATTCACATAGGATGATTGGAATACGTGAGAAACTACATTTTTTTCCATAAGAACTCTTCTTTTTCTTTACTTCAATCAACCTTCTGCCACCTACGTAACTTTTAACTTCTTTTGGAGGAGTCTGATTCAACCCACGCTGAAAAACTCTTTAGCTCGTTAAGTTTATTCAACGCCCACGAGTACACAACTCCCTAGCTCGTCTGCATCTTTTTTGTAGTCATTTAAAAACCGTTTATTCAGCATTATTTGGTTTTATTTAAAGCAAAACTAAAACTTCCACAGCCACCGCCCACGCACATGGAGGTGAGGTACTGTTGGCAGCAAAGTTCAATTACCTCACATCACGATATTGTTGTTAAGAGTAAACTAAAATATGCGGCACGCGTTGCAATACGTCATAATTAGCAAACGGCTAAATCAGCAGCAAATAAAGCCTTTGGCAATGCACTTTTGCAATGCAATCGCTTTGTGCCTTCCTCATTTTGTGGGCATGTTTCTTCCCTGAGCTCATAAGCCGACTACAAAAGGCGCCGCCCACGAAAGGGGCTAAACCTTACATAGAAAAATACTTTTGTTAAAAAATTAACATAGTAGTACTTTAAAAAAATTTTAAAAGTAGTTGACTTTTAACGTTGTTTAATTTAAAATTTATTTTTTGAAACCAAATTAAAAAAAAAAACATTTTTTCATGTGCACTTTACCTCTCACATATTTTGATTCCCCTTTCCTTTCCATTGCTTATTGCAATTTCCTCTCTAAATTGGCATATTTATGTAGAAATTTGTGCTTTTAATTGGGGGAAGAACTATAGAAATGCTTGTGGGTGTAGTTGTACCAAATCGGGTCAGCATAATGCACATTAATTATGGTTTATTGTTTCTTTAAGTGTGTCATGCTGGAATCGAATAAAGTCGGGTCGTTTTAAGCTGTTTCGGGTTGCAATTTCGGCTGAGCCAAGAAATTGTTTCCCATTTTGTTATCTCAGCCGCGCGATTCGTCGATGACATTATTTCTTGAATGTTTATTCGCATGCTAATTGTTTACGAGAATTTGAAGGTTAAAATTCGTGGTATTCAAACGCACCACGCCTTAAGATCTAGAGAGCAAAACACATTTTTTTTGTTTATTTATTGTATTTTGTTGCTCTCTTCTTCGTTTGGGATCGAGATAGCCAGCTCCTTCTATTCGTTTTGGTTTTCGAGGCATCAATTTAGGTTTCCTAAAAAGCCAAATGGATCTTAAAATAGTTTTCACCGATTCCGTTTTTGCTGTCGCTTCACGCACGTGGGTATTTGAAAAAATACGGATGTGAGTATGCATTTTCCCCAGACTTTTCCCCCTAAAATTGAGAATTTATTTTGGCCAAAATTAGACATTAACTAAAGTGGAAATATGCGGCAGGCCATTCTGTCACCCCTCCACTTTCTCTGCTTTCCCCCCCCCAAAAACACTTTAAATTTTGACATTCACAGGGAATTCTGTCAGTTTTCCACTCTCTGAGAGACTCTCTTACTTGGGTGGTTGCACTGCACTCTTTCTCTCTTGCTCTCTCGCTCTCTTTTTTGCCACCCCCTTTTCCGAACTGCCCTGCAGTTTTTAAGGTCAGTCGAAAATTTTCCAGCTGAGCGTTAAGTTGAAGAAGCACTTTGCCTAAATAAAAAAAACCATACCCTTCATTTAATTCCAGCATTTTTACTGAAATAAAAGGGAAATAAATCATGACTGATGTTGAGCAACCGCCACAGAATGGCATAGATCCCACTGCCCGCGAGGAGGATGACAACAAAGCACGTCCTGCGGATATTGAACAGGTAAGTTTAGGCATGGAAGCCTCATTTGGACAAACCACCCCTTACTCCTTTTTTCTTTCACTTTTAAGGATATGCGCGAAATGGAGCGTCGCAAGCGGGTCGAGGCCATAATGGGCTCGAAGCTGTTCCGCGAGGAGCTGGAGCGGATCGTAGACTCGGCCCGCGAGGGTGGAACTGGCGCCAGTGGCATCCTGCAGCAGCTGTCGGACATTGTGGGCGTGCCGGTGTCGCGGGTGGGCAGTGTCTTCAAGAGCAGCAACTGCATGGTGCCCATCAACGATATACGCGGCGTTGAGTCGATGGGATATGCCAAGGGCGAGAAGATACTCCGGTGCAAGCTGGCCGCCACATTCCGTCTGCTCGATCTGTACGGCTGGACCCAGGGTCTGGGAGCACAGATCACTGCCCGACTCAAGGTCGACCAGGAGTACTTCCTGGTCAATCCGTACGGCCTGCTCTACCACGAGATCACTGCCTCGGCGCTGAACAAGGTGGACATGCAGGGCCAGATCGTGGAGCAGGGTACCACAAACTTTGGCGGAAACAAGAGTCGTAAGTTGGAATGTTTCAAATAATTACCTCATTTGAATGGAAACATTGAAAGAATATTAAATCTAAAATAGTTTCTTTACTTTGAAAGCCTACTATTTGAGTTTTCTAATGTATAACTTTTTTTTGATTGTTTACCTGCAGACTTTGTCCTTCACTCGGTGGTACATGCTGCCCGTCCAGATATCCGCTGCGCCATCTACATCGGCTGCAGTCCGGTTGTGGCCATTTCCTCGCTGAAATCCGGTCTGCTGCCGCTAACGAAGGATGCCTGTGTGCTGGGCGAGATCACCACACACGCCTACACCGGCCTGTTCGACGAGGAGGAGCGCAACCGATTGGTCCGAAGCCTCGGTCCCAACTCCAAGGTGATTCTGCTGGCCAACCATGGTGCCCTGTGCTGTGGCGAGACCATCGAGGAGGCCTTCTTCGCCGCCTGTCACATTGTGCAGGCGTGCGAGACCCAACTCAAGCTGCTGCCCGTCGGTTTGGATAACTTGGTGCTGATTCCGGAGGAGTCGCGAAAGGCCATCTACGATCAGTCGCGCCGACCGCCCGAGGATCTGGAGAAGAAGTTTGCCGCTGTGACGGCAGACGAGGGTGGTGCTGCCGCTGCTGAGAAGGAAGCCGAAGCTGCCGTGCCCAAGGTGGGCAGTCCGCCCAAGTGGCGGGTGGGTGGTGCCGAGTTTGAGGCCTTAATGCGCATGCTGGACAATGCTGGCTATCGCACTGGCTACATCTACCGCCATCCGCTGATCAAATCGGATCCTCCCAAGCCCAAGAACGATGTGGAACTACCGCCAGCTGTTTCATCTTTGGGCTATCTTCTTGAGGAGGAGGAGCTCTTCCGTCAAGGGTACGCTTGTTTTGTTAACTTCTTTGCTTACCTTAGAAACGCACTAATAAATTCATTTCATATTAGGATCTGGAAGAAGGGAGATCTACGTAAGGGCGGCGACCGCAGTCGGTGGCTCAACTCGCCCAACGTTTACCAAAAGGTCGAGGTTCTGGAGACCGGCACTCCGGATCCCAAGAAGATAACAAAGGTAGAAATCATTACTTTCGAAGATATGAAGCAAAGCAAAACCACCAGCCTTAAGGAGATTGAGGGGAAATAGTTGAAATTGTTGGATAACGCATCCCTCAGCTCTTTTCTGACATTCCAATTGCTATCCCTACCTATATATTATTTACATTTCGTTAGACTCAGTTTTAGTTCCAACTTTGCTACTAAGCTGCAAAACTATATTCACGCATAAAATTTCTTAGAGTTTAAGAAAATTTAAGTAATCAATACACAAAACCTATATATTTATATACTTTGGACATAGAAATTAAACTCGTGCTAAACCAAATTTATTTTACATGCTTTGCTAGCCAGCAAACAAATACTGTAATGTGCATTAATCAAATAAATAAAGCAAACAAAACCAAAAACTTTTGCATAGATGATTTTGTGCCTCTTTAAAGGGAAATTACTGCCTCAAAAACAAGTCTAAAACTGTAAAACAATGCAAAGAAAGAGAAAGAAATTTGCTATAAATACTAATCATTACTTAAATAATAAAAACAGCATATTTTGTTTCACTCAATATCATTGATTTCATAATTAACCATTTTTTTCTTTCATTCATAAAGTTTTTCTTTGCATGTGTTATGGTGTTTTTCTTTATTTTCTTTGTAATTGTTTTCATTGTTTTTCAAGGCACAAAATCATTTATGCTTGATTTCTCAGTTGATTTATGTTTATTTGATCATTGCATATATAAATAATATCTGAGGGACAAATATATCTGTGGGTAAAACTTGATAAATAGTTATGAAGAAGAACCAGCTTGCAATGGAATGTTTAAAAACTAACCCTAATTTTAAGATAAAAGCAAATGTAAACAAATGTGTTAAAACTTTTTCAACATGTTGAATGAGAATGTCTATTCTTAAGAAATTTTCATTTTAATAAGAATCTTGAGTAAGAATCTGAGTATCCCACATTAAAAACGAATTTCTTTCTCTTTCTTTTCTATTTGCATTGATCCCAACCTCCTCCCTCAACATAATTTACAATTAAAAAAAACTTAGTGGGTGGCTGAGGGTTCTCCCACCCACTCAACGCCAGTGAGGATAGAAGATCCACTCCAGTTTGTGCCTGCAGGAACTAATCCGAGAGAGTTCAAGCGAGTCCAGCAACTAGTCAGTATTTAATACACTTAAACCCATAAGAAATCATTTACCAATTTACCAAAAAACAGATCAAGGACAATCGTCGGGCGGATAAGATTTCGGCCGGACCCCAGTCGCATATTCTGGAGGGCGTCACATGGGACGAGGCGAGCCGACTCAAGGATGCAACGGTCTCGCAGGCCGGCGACCATGTCGTCATGATGGGTGCCGCTTCCAAGGGAATCATTCAGCGTGGATTCCAGCACAATGCCACGGTGTACAAGGCCCCGTATGCCAAAAATCCATTCGACAATGTGACGGACGATGAACTCAACGAGTACAAGCGCACGGTGGAGCGCAAAAAGAAATCGGTGCATGGCGAATGTAAGTTATCATCTCGGCAAAATAACATATGTATCTGTATCAAATGTTTTATAACATGTTTAACTTCGTTATGCAGACACTGACACAGATTTTTCGGAATCAGAGGCGGTCCTGCAGGCGGGGACAAAGAAATACCCTCAAAGCGAACCAGAGACCGGTATGTCCACTATTTACAAACTATTCGCAATGCCAGCAACTAATATGCATCTTCGATTTTAGAGCACCAGGTCATTGAGATCCAAACACAACAGGCGCCAGTGCCAAGGCAGGCAGAAGTCGTGCTGAGCGATGGTAAGTCCATTTGTGCGCTGCGCAGTGTACTTTACAATGTTTATATCTACGGTTAAGATTATTTAAATCACGCACACTCTAAAACATTTCAAGTACACTTGTCCAAGAATTATGTCTTTTCCCAGTCATCCTGTGGACCAAATTTATTTTGTTATTTTGTTTTACCCCATTGTTATCCCTTTTGATGCATTTTTCTTTTTGGTTTACTTAGTTTTTGTTTATATCTGAATTATTATTTTATTGGTTATTTAGGTCTTGAATATTCTATTATTTTTATTAGGTATTTTAAGTAGATTTATACTTATTTTAATTACCTTGTAGTATTATTTCCTATGTTGAATTTTTGGTAAACCCATTTAATTGGATTCCTAACGTTTAGTAATAACATTCTTTTTATACTATTTTTCCTTTTTTCGTTTATTTTATTTGCTGTACTAAAATTACCAATACACACACTTAAAAAACTACACACATTTCAATTGATAACAACACAACAATTACATATTGTAGTCAACAAAAAAATACTTGTAGCAATTGATGCGGTGACAACTTCATTTCTGTAAAAACTACAACATTGTTAAACTTTCTATTTGCTAATCATTTCCCTTTTTATATTGTCATGTCACAGTTTTAATTTTGTATTCAGTTATTTTAAATTAGTTTATTATTGTGCAATACAATTCATCCTTATCCAATACTTCCAAGGAACCAACTGTTGTACGGCGTGTATCAAATGATTTTTAATTTCAACAACACACATGACAGTACAGCAACAAATACTGCTACAACAAAACACATTTTATTATTGTAGAAAGGCTGCAGTTGTAGTTATTCCTTGGTTTCTAAAATTCTTCTTTTATTTCCCGAATTTGGCAAGTTGTAAATCAAAATTTTCACTTTCTATTGTTTCAAATAGGAAGAAAGCCCAAAACCAAGTAAATTGGCAGCTTATTTAGTTAGCATTCATTGAAAAGCGAAGTGTGTGTGTGTAGGTTCACTATAAAATAAACCAGAAATGTATAATAAAACGAAAGACCAGCAACCAACAACAAGAAGCAACCGAAGCTCTCAACAGAACACAAAATTCTACTACTACTACTACTACTACTACTACCACTACTACTACATCCTACATTTTCTACTACTACTTCTGCGGCTGCTGCGCTCTATAACACAAAAATAAACCAAATAAATAATAAGCAGTTTAAAAAGAACCCCCTTTTTGAGTTGGAGGTGAGTGCAGCCCCAAAGGTTTAGTGTGTAGTCAAAAAAAAAAAAATCAATCAAAATAAAAAATCAAGCCAATAGTTTATAGAAAAAAATGTTCAGTATAACATAAACATAAACATAAACCACCTGCACACTAAACCCCATTCAACATGTCATGTTAATTATTGCCGAATGCTATTAGCTGATTTACTTTATTCGCTGTTAGCCGATTTTCGTTGGGATTTCTCCGTGTTGACATGTTTTTAGTTTTAACTGCAGCTGTTTTCTGTTGATTGCTTCCTTAGTTGCCTAGCCAGCTACATTAGTTGAAAACTAATACCTGTCTAAACTTTTCAAGCATGCTTAATCGATACTAAACTCTAAAACACATGCATCACTACGTATTTCTAGTTTAAGACACACATTTACATTTACGTCTGTTTCACATTTGTTTAGCATATTAGTTGCGGATATTTGACGCTGAATATGATTTTTTATAATTTAATTTCTCAATACTATTTTAGCCACAAATAGTTTTATAAACGGCGAACGCTCTCACACAGCCACAAATCGCAAGCCGCCAACTGGCCGAGGTAACGAAAACAAGACCCGATTGAAAGAAATACACCCCTTACTTACCCTTTCTTACTTCTTGCGCCCTTCAATGTACTCAGGCTAAACGCCACCTGTATATAATCTCCGATATAATACTCGTTATTCGGTGTATATTTACTATATAACCCCCATATAATCCAATAGCCCCTGGAAGTTCGTTGTTAATGGCGTATTATTTTATTATATAACCCACAATATAATCCACAAATTCATGGCAAATAACGGTTGCACTTAAACTAATGGTTGATAATATCACTCTAGAAATAATTCACTGCGGCTTACAGTTCATTCCATTGGTCTGCGAAAAATGATATTTTATTTTAAATCCAAACCGCTTCTGGATTTAATAGAACGTTTCCATTTTCAGGTACAAAATAATGATTTAAATATTCCAAACCATTTGCTAGTGATTCTCTTAGGTCTCTGACTTTTACAATTGGAAGATTGTAATGATTGTTTTTCAGATTTATGGATATGTATTTCAGTACGCATTGCCATTATGTATGTATTTCGAGTGCCGCACTGTTCAAGATGCTGGCTCCGGACTTTTCTCTAGCTTGTGACAAATACTTACTGACCATTTTTGGCTTTTTCCTCCTTTCTACCTTGCTATCGCGTTGACTAGGAGATCATAACAATAACGAATCTCAAATAGATGAAGAGGACAAGGAGAACCAGCGGCAAGGGCGGGATAGAAACTTGTCCGTAAACAGCAGATGCCGCCGCGACTTGTTTCCATCTCTGGTCGAGGATCCTGTTCTGCCGTCGGAGCAGTTATATTCCTATGTTTATGCGACTGCTGCTGCCTTGGGACAGTGTGTCCAACCGCAGGTGTGCTCCGCTTTGCTGCGTGCTCTCCATTGCGAACAGCTGGGCTATTTGGCCAATTGCTATCGTGGCGCAGCAGGACACTCGAATGCCACCACCTCGAGTACATGCACTATAACTAGCGCCACGGGTTCTTCCAACGCCTCCCGTCGCCCCCTGCGGCAGACTAATGTGCTCCAACATACACCCTATCGTACCGGTTCCCATTTCGGATTCAATTCACCACGCCAGCCACCACGCACTGAGCACAAGCATATTCCCCGGGAACGGGAGCAGCCGGCCTTGGGCTATCGTCCAATGCAGCGAGGCATCAGCTACGAGGAGATCTTTGCCACACCACGCTACGATCAGTTGTGTCAGGCTTGCTTCGACAAGCTGCTGCGTCTCAAGCCGGAGCTCCAGAAGGCCGCCAGTAGTTGCGCCGAGGAGCAGCTGACCAGTAATGGAAGCACTCCCATGCAGCAACGTCAATTGACAACACTTCCTGAGTTATCCGATAATTTCGCAAATATGTTAATGCTGCCAGAACGTCCGAGGATGCAACGGAATGCCTGCACCCAGACACAAGGGTGCTCCGTCTCCTCGTCCACCACCAATTTTCTCAGTCAAATCGAAAAGTTCAACTTCTCGGAAGAATCAACGAATGTGAATTATTCACCAAGTCTAATGAACAGCGATATTAGTGTTACGGGTTTGATTGTAGAGCCGGCAACTTCAAGTGCTGGAGCAAGTGCCACGAGTGTTGCTCCCCCAAGGATTTACCATGCGGAACAAGCAGATATTACCGAAGTTTGGAGCTTTGGTCGTTGGTTGGAGCCGCAGGACAAGATGATGGTGAGCAATGCATATGAGTTTGTCCAACAGCCGCTTACCGAGCATCGCATTACTTTGGAGGTAAAGCAGCATTATCCAACTGGTCAGATCGACCGCCAATTAATGACTCGCGAAGAGCGTCAGCGTCGCAAGTCTGAGTTTCAGGAGCTGTGGCAAGATCACGTTGAATACTTTGGGGCCAAGGAACAGATGCAGCAGGAGCAGCAAACACTTGAAATTTTGACACTAGATGAGCAAGAAGAGCAGTCTATAAGAGCCCATGATTGGATGGACCAGGATCTGGAGTTGGTGCAAGGCGATCCAAAAGATCCTGAGTTAGATGTCGAGGCCTATAATGAACACTCTAAAGATAGCCAAGATGAAACCCTGACAGAGTCGAGCTATGAGCTCCCAAAAGTTTTGCAGAAGTTCGAGGAAAGTCTCACGCTAGCCGGTGAAAACCTAGAGAAGCTAGTTGTCACCGCCAAGAAACTACAGGCACTGGACACCACCGATACTTCAGCCGTGACTACCAGCAGTTCCCCTGTTGAAAGAGATCCAGTCGAAGGTAGTTATCTGTTTCGCTCGATTAGTTTGGAGAACATTCCCAACGCCGATGATACTGTGTGCATACAGGAACCAGAAGTTGTTGGGTCCATCGACTCCAGTAACAGCAATCACAGCGAAGTGGAGATTGTCCATGGTTTGGAGCAGGAGGAGAAACGCGACGACGAGAAGCCCGTGACTCCCAGTTCAACGGAACCAGAGGAGTCCACTGACAAAGAAAAGGAGCCTGATGACGAGAAAGACATAGATGAAAATGATCTTAAGGTGGAGGCAGAGATCCAAGAGATTACGGGCGAAACCCCAGAAGTCCCCAACGTTGAGCCCGATCCCGATAATCAGTTTTTCACTCCACTAGAGCGTGAGGTACTGCAGCGCATCGAGGACGACCGACTTGACGAGCGGGAGCCCATTTTTGGGAAAATTGATCAAAGTATTCGTAACAAGATGACGCCCAAGAAGCTGCAAGACTTGGTCAGCGAGGAGATCTTCTCCACTCGCACGCTCATCTATCCATCTAATCCAAGCACACCGCTGCCGAAAGTGGCTCTAGCCGAGACCACTTTGACACCGAGTGGCTCTTCTCTGTCTGCCCATAATATCAGTGCTCCCTGCAGTTCGATGGCCCACACACACCTTACTACCCGACCCACGCCTCGCATGTCGCGTTCATGGTCGGCGGATGGGCAAAGGGACGAGGAGAACAACGATGAGGAGGAGCAGGTTATAACTGAAGAGGAGACTACTCCTCTGGACCGGATCATATCCTCGACAACCTTTGTGTGCCGAAGCAGTCCGCGCAGAAAGCGCAATTTTATTCAGGAGAACATTCGCAATGCTAGCAGACCAAGAAGTAACGTCGGTGCGGTTACAAAGCACAGGAGCACACCACTAACAAGTCCTAGAACCAATTCGAGTCCCTCGTCGGTGTGTGCATTTCAGTGTGGCCAGCGGGATAGTGGCGCCCGTCTGTGGGTGTCCATGCCAACGCCTCCTCGGCGAGCCTCTGGTCAAAAGCGAGGCAACACGACGACTCCTGCACACGCTTTGTACTCCGTTCGGGGTGGCCTGTCCTCGCCGTTCGCCAAACGTCGCAAACCCATGGTTATTCTTCCGCCTCTACGTGGAGGCAACCGTTTGCAGAGTCCCAATCTCAACTCGTCTTTTCTATCGCTACATCGCACTCTTTCCAGCAGCACGTTCTTTGTGCGGGGCGAAGAAAGTGGGGAATCGGATAACCTATCAACGAGCACCTTTCAGATGGATGGAAGTCAGGAGGAACAGGAGGGGGAGCGGGACAATGGAAGTCCAAAGGAATCCCCGGCAGTGCATGATCCAGCAAATGCCACCAATAGCTCCATGTACTACAGTGCGAACGACAACACGCGAGAGGAGACGGAATCTTTACAGACAAGCGCAGAGGCAACGGAGGAGGATCCCGGATGTGTCAAACTTACTAAAACACCTTTTTTGCCAGAGAGCTCTACTTCTACTTCTTTGGATATTCCGATAAAAACTAACTATCAAACAGAAGTCTTGTGCTCTCCGAAAAACAAAATGGAATTGAACAGGGATTCCCAGGATATAACCGATCCGGAAGTATCCAGCCCACTTGTAGATACAGGATCTTTGGCAGAATTCACACGACTAGAAGGTGGATCAGAGCGTCAACAACTTTCTATAAGCACAATAGAGAGTGAACATCGCGAAGAAGGGGAATCTCCATCAGAACAGAAGATAAAGAACAACAGTAGCAGTTCCGAAAATGTCCTTTCCTCAGCTAACGAGCTAAATAGAATGACCAAAACGAACGATGATTATGACAGTAGCAGTGATTACGACGGTGAGAAACTTATTCGGGTGGTTAAGGCCACTGATGAGAATATGGATATGGATAACCATATCCAGGTGATTAATGACGATGAGCCGACGACCTCAAAAGCGGCTGCGACTAAAAATCGACAGAGCGGCGGAGCGGAAACCAACCGAAATTCCTCCACTGAAGATGAGGATGTGGTTATCTTGGACACAATTTGCACTGTGCATGGTTCGGAGTTGTTTGTGCGGGAGGCGGAGCCAAAACTTCAAGCGAATTTGTCATTTGATGCTTTCTTAGACAAGTCGTTTGAGGAAGATGAGGAAGCTCTAAAACCAGAAATAGGTCAAGAATCTACTGAAACAGATTGAAGAAGAAAACAATAGCAGCCTTAGCTTTGAAAAAAAGAACTGAAGAATTTTTGTTTGTTTACATGTTATATTTGCTTGTGATTTTAACACAGTTTGCCATGAACATTGACATTTCATTTGTTACCTTTGAATGTAATATTATTCGCCTTTATTGATTTACAACTCATCTTTTATAATGTTAAGTGGTTGAACGGACAGAGAAAATGAAATATATATTATATTTGTAACCTTTTACTTTAAGCCAGTAGATGATCTACTTAAAATATATAGTTTGTAAATTTGTACTAACTTTTGACGGTTAAGGGTTAATTATTTCAAACGGAAGAGAAAATAAATGTTTTATAATTTATATTGTAATCTTTCCAGTTGGAAAGTAATTTATTCTATTAAGTGTTAGCAGTAATTATCCCATCCCAATGTTTTGTGTTAGCTGTACGTACATCCCGTCGATCGTGAACATTACTTGGACATGCAACTGGTGCCCAGAATCGTACTTACAATTTTATCACAATGCACAACCTCCTGCCTTTTGATTCCATTATCGTTTATAGCGCTTCTCACTTACCTGGCCCTAAAATATGCATTCCTATATGCACCTGAGCAATACATTTACGATTACCTAAAAAGGGGACAATTTGAGCAGCAGGTGTATGTCATCCACAAGGTCGAACCCGTCAGCAAGCACTACTATCCGCCAGTCCACGATGGTGAAAGCTTTTCCGGATTTGTGGGCAATGCATCGGGCGTGGTCAACAGCACGCCCATTCGAACTGTTGTGGCATCAGTTTCGTTGACTGAAGAGAGGAATCAATCCGGATCGGGAGGATCAGGCCTAACTCCCTATCGCACCATCTCCCACTTTGGCTTCAATTGTCCCCTGATGACGTCGCCAACCATTCTGCTGCATCCGGAACACCAATCCATTTGGCAAAAAGTTTCCGAGCATCGCGAAAAGGTGGTGTCATTCATCGATCTCACCGCATTGAGTTTGGATAACCGCAAGCTGCTTAATGTGGTCACAGCTCGGCAGCAGCAGCAGCAGCAGCCCACACAATCCGAATCACAATCTCAATCCTTTGTCTCTGAGAAGCACATTCAGTTGGAAGTAACGCCGCCGAAACGAAAACAGCGGGTCTACAGTGCGACCACGACGAGCAGTGGACACAGCTTGGATGACAGTCTAGACGAGCTGGACTCCCTGATGAATGCCCTAAGCATCTCTTCGCCACGCAGGCGGGAACAGGATAGCGGTCTGTATCGCAGCTACACCTTCTTGCCCAGCAATCATGATCTGCCCCAGGATGCGGATGCCAATGACGGCGAACAGGCCGATCGGGAGCGTCCCGAGGCGGAGCAAGAGGAGATGATTTTCCGTCGCCCTGGCGACAGTGGCCTGGGCGATTCGACTGGCCGTCGTCCGCGGCTGCCAACCACCAGCAATGATTCCTCCACCCAGGAGGCCGAGGCCTACACCCAGGGCAAACACGTCAAGTTGACCCTGAGCAGCAGCCCGCCCACGCCCACGACCAGACAATCGCCGGCAACCATTGAGATTTTGATCAATGTGTCGCTGCGCAATGCCGAGTGCGTGGAAACGGTGCAGACGCACGAGCAGGAGTTTCGGGCCAAACTGGAGAGGGTGATCGACGAGGAGATCCACTACATCTCGCAGCATCTTGCATATAAGCAGCGGCAGGCGGATTTGATCCAACAGCAGGCGACACAGCGGGCACCACTGGCCAGGCCGCCTCCTCCGGCGCCGCCATCATCGTCCTCCATGGTGCAGCGCAGCAATTCGGCGCCGGAGCTTTGTCACACCTATAGCTATGTGGCTGTGGCCATGGCCGCATCCGATGTGTCGAGCAAACATGATGAAACAACCTCGCCACAATTGCCAACGGAGGGTGAGCCGCTGAACGATATACTCTGCAGCCTGGAGAAGGAACTGGAGCGACTGCTGAACAGCGTGGTGAAGGCGCACATGCTGCACAACAAGGCCATCATTCACGAGTGCCGGGCTCGCATCTCACAGTTGGCCGATGGATTGGCAAAATCCTAAATTTGTTTTCTGAATTTTCTTAAAACTTTTCTCTTGTTACATTATTTCGAAATAACCTACAATGAAAAGATAACCATAATACCTTAAATATGTATAGTAAACTAAGTAGCAGCTGCATTTTATACATCTTTGTTCTCTTAATGGAAATGTTAAGAGCGTAACTAAAGCACCAAGTGGAAATGCAACATGTTAAATAACTAAAACAGTTAAATCCTCTAAGAATTTGTTAACTTTAATTTTAATCTTTGTCGAATCTTCATTTTTGTTTAAAATTTTTATAAATTAAATACAATATAAATTGTTTTCATTATGAAACTGCCTTTAAGAGTTCATAAGCGCCCGTCATTAATTCAGATAAGTTTACTCTGTGTCCAGGTAACATATTTTCATTTATTTGTTTATGTTTTGTGTTTTGTGCATGTGTATGCTTGCTTATTAATATTAGTTAATCGCACTGCTGCATGTCCTTGTGTTTGATTTCCCAATCCTGAATAAATCCATTTATGTAATAATACGCCCTCATCATCCGAAACATTTAAAACATTTACATGTTTAGTTAGATTCTAATTTGTGCGTGTCTCAGAAGGTGAAAGTAATGACGAAAATAATATCGAATACTATGTGTGCGTCCACTGAGTTACATTTGTAGGAAGCCCAAATCATTTTAAGCTACAATAAACTTTATTAATTGTGTTTTTTGTTTGTTTGTTCGATTCCTTTACCCCAGGTGAAAACGTACAAAATGGCGATCATTCGGAGGCACACTTGAGCACCTTCTCCCAGAGCAGTAAAGAGGTAAGTATATCTGATCAGATCGGAGGATCAGCCAACGATCACTTTTCGCCCTCACAAGCAAGCGGTGAGCTGGTTGTAAACGATGCAGCGGCTCATTTTACATCGTTTACAATCAGCTTTTAAAACATCATGCATTTAGCTAACCCCCATTATGTTTACTAACCGAAGCGCAACCGATATTCTCACTGCAAATTTCTATTACGGTTCCAGGATGTCTCCACGGACGGATCACCCAAGAAAGACAAGAAGAAGAAGAAGGGCCTGCGCACACCGTCGTTTTTGAAAAAGAAGAAGGAGAAGAAGAAGGCCGAGGCCTAAGTTAAAGCCTAAGCTAAAGCTAAAGCCTAAGCCTTAAGCCTAAAAGCTGAGCAGCGCGGGATCAGTTAGCAAGGAGTAGAAATCTTGACACACCCTCCCACCATCAGCGGGAACCGGAAACGAGGCAACTAACGACAATGAAACTACGACAAAAATTAAGTAAACTGTAGCCAGATCAGCAAAAGAAGCATTATGTAAGAGAGAAAGAGAGAGAGAGGCCTAAAAATAAGCAACAAATGAGCAGCTAAAATTGATTAAGATGCAAGGATCCAAGAGGATCATACCCCGAAGGCATCCGCCCTCGCCCCAATTCGCATTCACAGCTTATATCTATTATAATATAATTCTAATTTTTAATTAATAATACAATGGCCACGGCACCACCACCCTCCCCCTCCCCCTCCACCCAACAGCAACGCAATCCCCACAATTTGTATGATAACGAGAATATCCGATACGCCACTTTGTTCTTATACAAGTAGCATGCAAAAATCTTCTAAATGTATTAGCTTTTAAAAACAAACTACGTAAAAACACAATACATAGTAAACACAACAAATGAACAGAAGAAAAGGGACAAAATTCCCAGGCAGCTGTGTGTGCTACTCTGGAGAATGCAAGGATTTGTTTAAAACAAAGGCAGATTTGTTGTCTTTTGACACACATACAAGCGTGGTACATGCGTATGTACACATAATACTTAAATGCAATATTTTTTATAAATGCAATAAAATCGATCGATGACAACAACCACAATTTGATATTCTTTGCATGTGTGTGTGTCTCCTGTCAATTCGCTTTTTATGTTTTTAGTGTTCTTTTGTTTTGTTTTAAATTCCGGGCAGCCACACTTTGCACACAAACGAATGAATAATAAATATGTATACAACAAGCAGCTATTGTATTAGTTTTTTATATAAATAATTATATATTTTTATGTACGTAAAACTGTTTATACATACATATACATATATATATTTATAAAAACCAATAAATTATGAAGAAAACGAAAATTCAAAAAAACACAACGCATTAAATCAATGCGATTAATTAGGGGAAAGCAGAAACACAATCACAGAGAAGAATGTGGAAAACCCCATAAAATATACCCAAGAATCAAATTCCAGCATTTCTTTTGTAAGTAGATGTGCTTTAAAATCGCTGCCCACATTTGACCGTTTCAAAAATAAAATTAACAAGTACTGCAACTAACTATATATGACTGCCATAGCATGTAAAATCTTAAGGCACAACTTAATCGCATTTAAATTTCAAATTAACTATATTAAACTTCAAACCCCGATCATAAAAGCCAGATAAATCGAATGTTTCTGCTTTTCCAGCCCAAAACCCACCCACTCACACACAAATTCACTCTATATACAACGTATTTCATGCATTGCTGAGCCTTAGACAAAAAAAAAAGAAAACATCAAAATAAACACTTACGATAATTATATAAAGTATAATTCAACTGATTATTTGCGCAACGACAGAAGCTTATTTCTAGCAACTTTTTTGCATCATCTAGCGAAAAAGTCTGTATAATTTGTCCGTAGATTAACCTTAGAAATTTGTCAATATTCTCACTCTGTGCAAATAACAAAACAAAAAAACTTTTTGGAAAAAAGCTAACGAAAAGGAGGAAAGTTTTTTCGTAAAATTCTTTTAGAGTGTAAGAAAATGCATATAAATATATATATATTTAAATTCGTATTATACAAAAAAACACACGACACACACGAAGGAGCAAACACATAATAAATAAAAACTTGAAAATTGTACAAAATTCAAAATCAAATGTTATTTTTTTTTAATACTGTTGGTAAATCTGATCATTAAAAGGTAAATTTAATCAGGGGTCGACCGTAATTTATATTATTTATTGGACTATTTCAATAGTGAACAATAAACGTTAAAAAAAACAAGTATTTATATAGTTAAACAAACGGAAATATTAATTTTGGTTTTGTTCACAAAATGTTGTTTTAATTGGTAAAGTAGTAAACGTTTTTTCCGATATCATTCTAAAATTTACAAAATTAAGTTAACAAAAGAATTGCTGGAAACATTTTCAGTAAAATCCGATATTATGCCATGATATCTGAAGAATTGGATTAAATTTGCAATAGTCAAAAATCAAAATAGAGCGTTTACTGCATTGCAACTGTTCATTAAAGCAGTGCCTTACTGTTGTATGTGTGTGTGTTTCTTTTTCAGCGATATGGCAACTCAGGTCAGCTGTATTATCGTTTCTTTGTTGTGTTTATATGTTGTGAGTCATTTGGAAACCGTGATAAAACCTCAGAATTGAAACAAAATTTAGTCTGCCACCGAAATTACAAGTATCAACATGTCTCTGGTTACGGATGAAGAATGGGTGGAGTACAAGGTGAGGATCCTTAATTTCTTGGCCCATAAAGCGATATCCCAACAAACGTTATCCCTATAGTCCAAGTTCGACAAGAGCTACGAAGCGGAGGAGGATCAGCTGCGTCGGGAATTGTATGCAAAGGCCAAGGCCCGGATTGATGAGCACAATCGCAAGTTCGAGAAGGGAGAAGTGACTTGGAAAATGGGAATTAACCATTTAGCCGACCTTACCCCGGAAGAATTTGCCCAGCGTTGTGGCGGTAAAAAGCCGCCAAATTAAATTCCAGAATCTCCACTATTTCTTATTTTAAACAGTGATTTTTAAAAGACAGAATCTCTGTATTTCTATAAATACGCATTTATATGTTTTGAATGTTTTTTACCCACCCCCAAATAAACAATAAATCAGCTGTTTTGTACATTTAAAAGGTTTTTGACTTCTTGTGTTCTGGTCACACTTGCCCGGGGCCAACAGTTCATTGAGTTTTTAGTTCAGTGAACCGAGGTTTAATTTTAAAAACGCAAATATGCAGCAAAATACGTATAGCAGAGGTGCTAAATTTCCATTAAAAAACATGAAGGTAAAATTGCATATATAGCATACACATGTATATGTGTATTTGGAGCAGCGAAAAATTTGCGTATGCTTTATCAGATTGAACCAGTTCCGGTTCCTTCCACCTGGAGCCATTAGTGAACCGAACTGCAGTGCCGACGAGCGGCAGTTCACACACAACATTTGAAAGTTTGTAAACTTTTCACTTTCGATCACATAGACACCCCCACACACGTAGTTATTTGTTTTTTACAAACACCTTTTGTCTTGGCCCAATCTCTTGCAGAATTTTGCAACAGCAGAAGTAGCAGAACCTCGCAGCCCAGCCAACCATGTCCGGAATCATGCGTGTGCCATCGATTTTGGCCAAAAATGCAGTCGCCTCCATGGTAAGTTGTCTCCCGGGGAGAAAAATTGCATCGCGTCTTCGAGAAAACCTATAGAAATCTATAGTAATTGTGGTTATACAACCGAGGGTCTGTGAGGAACCCCAAACGCTCGTGATGTGACAACGTAAAAGGCCAAGAAATTGGCCAAAAACGCGCCGCTCGTGGGTTGTGTTATGTAATTTGCTTAGAATTCGGGGACTTAGTGTTTGATATTGGCCCTCCGTCTACTGTACTTTCATGGATATATAGAAACTATAACGTTATCCAACTGTGTTTTGTGATTTTCATGATTTTAAAGTGAAATGTAAGGTGTGCACCAGGGAGGTTATGTTATGTTGCCGCCCCGCGCCCCCCTTCCCCTCTACACCCCTGAAAACTACTCTGTTATTGTGGATTTCGCTATGCGTGCAACAAATTCACTTAATAACATTTAATTTTGGATCGACGACACGCCTTGAAAACCTCTACAAGTTACGCTCAATCGTTGAAATCGGCAGGAAAGAGAATAAAATATATTAATCCAGAGAGTGAGAGCGTAAGAGAGGGGGAGAGAGATATGGAGGCACGTCGGTCAGCTAACAAAACTAACAGCTGATTATACAATTGAGCTGATCCACCCCCACCGCCCCCCTTCAAATAGTAGACCCCCCGATGTAATCCAGTAAAATTATTTAATTTGTTCATTACATAAGCAGTTATCACTGCAAGTCTCTCTTTCTACTTCTCTCAAATTGTAGACGTCATCAGCAAATCTTTGTAGAAGAGTTCTAATGTTCCCCTCTCAGTATTACCTTTAGTTACCCATCTTGTTTTTATTTTGCTTTAGTTCTTTTTCGGCTTCTTAATTGCAATTACTTTTAGTGCACTTTGACAACTTGTTTTTGTAATCTTTTGATAAGATAACAATAATTAGTTGTTCCAAATTCATAATTAGTATAGGTATAGAACCTAACCTTTGTTGTCAAAAAACCTATTTATTTGTTATTATGTTTTAACGTTATACTAAGTCCAAATAGAGACTTAACAAAACATTAAGTATAATAATAAAACATTAAAGTACTCCTTCAGAAGCTAAGTGACATTTTTGGTTCTATAATAGAACAGTTGTCAAAAAATAAAACAAAAAGGGAACGCCTATAAAAATAATTTTAAATATGTACTTAAATATTGTACACCTCACCTTACTAAATAAATGTAGTAACAAGTAAACATTTATTATTCACATGAAATCTCCACTCCCCTGTTATTAAAAATAAGCAGGAAAAGGCAGCAGTTATCTCTTAAGTTTACGTAATTTTTTTTTCACGAATGGTTGCGAATTATGGTTGAATGACTAAAACAAGCAATGCTTTGATGACTTTATAGGCAAGCCGGGATTTTAAATCAGTAAATTGTTCTATCCCACTTACAAACTGCAGCGTATGGGCCATTAAAGTAATCACAGCTATACACAACGAAAATTAATAGTTTTATACGTTTCTATCTATGTATTGATCAATACGCGACTCTTTTTGACCTTTTGGACAATTATAGGTAAAATAGGTTTTGAATAGAAATGACTTATAGCGACTGAGGATGAACAATTTTTTTTTAACTGCTTTGTTTTTTTTTTTAAATTAAAACATTACTAAATCCTTAATATGATAATATAATAATATGGTCATCTGGAACACCATATTTTTAAAATCCTCTTTTTTATTATTAGCATCTAAGAAGACCTTTTTTTTATCAGTCAATCAAGAAAGAAACCAAACGTTGGCAAAATTATATACCCAGGTATTAAAACATTAAACGTTTTTTTTAAAGCATATTTGCAAAAATAAAAAACAGTAAAGTTATAAATAAAAAAATTTGTATTTTGATTGTACGTTTGGGAGCTGTATTGTCGACTTAAATATATACAAACTAGACAGTTTTAAGCTTAGAAACATGGACATGAACACAAGGCGAGATCGACTCTTTTAGTGATGCTGATCAAGAATATATATACCTTCAATGCGTTGCAAACTTTATTATACCCTCTGCGAGGGAGTGTAAATATGAAATATATATGTATAGTCCCATTTCTGATCTTTATATTGCCATTCCCCTTTTTTTTTACAGCAACGTGCCGCCGCGATCGGAGTGCAGCGCAGCTACCACATCACACACGGCCGCCAGCAGGCCTCGGCGGCCAATCCGGACCTGATTTCGAAGCAGTACCCGGTGGTGGATCACGCCTACGATGCGATCGTCGTGGGAGCAGGAGGTGCCGGCTTGCGGGCTGCCTTCGGTCTGGTGGCCGAGGGATTCCGCACGGCGGTGATCACCAAACTATTCCCCACCCGCTCGCACACGATCGCCGCCCAGGGCGGAATCAATGCGGCGCTGGGCAACATGGAGGAGGACGACTGGAAGTGGCACATGTACGACACGGTCAAGGGCTCCGATTGGCTGGGCGACCAGGACGCCATCCACTATATGACCCGCGAGGCGCCCAAGGCCGTCATTGAGCTGGAGAACTATGGCATGCCCTTCTCGCGCACCCAGGACGGTAAGATCTACCAGCGCGCCTTCGGCGGTCAGAGTCTGAAGTTCGGCAAGGGCGGTCAGGCCCATCGCTGTTGCGCCGTGGCCGATCGCACGGGTCACTCGCTGCTGCACACACTGTACGGCCAATCGCTGAGCTATGACTGCAACTACTTTGTGGAGTACTTTGCCCTGGATCTGATCTTCGAGGAGGGCGAGTGCCGTGGCGTGTTGGCGCTCAATCTGGAGGATGGCACACTGCACAGGTTCCGGGCCAAGAACACGGTCATTGCCACCGGCGGCTATGGACGTGCCTTCTTCTCGTGCACCTCGGCGCACACGTGCACCGGTGACGGCACCGCCATGGTGGCCCGCCAGGGTCTACCCTCCCAGGATCTGGAGTTCGTGCAGTTCCATCCGACCGGCATCTATGGCGCCGGCTGCCTCATCACCGAGGGCTGCCGCGGCGAGGGTGGCTACCTGATCAACGGCAATGGTGAGCGCTTCATGGAGCGCTACGCTCCGGTGGCCAAGGATCTGGCCTCCCGTGACGTTGTCTCACGCTCGATGACCATCGAGATTATGGAGGGTCGCGGCGCTGGTCCCGACAAGGATCACGTCTACCTGCAGCTGCATCATCTGCCGCCCAAGCAGCTGGCCGAACGTCTGCCCGGCATCTCGGAGACCGCCATGATCTTTGCCGGTGTGGATGTGACCCGTGAGCCCATCCCCGTGCTGCCGACGGTGCACTACAACATGGGCGGTGTGCCGACCAATTATCGCGGCCAGGTGATCACCATCGACAAGGATGGCAAGGATGTGATTGTGCCGGGATTGTATGCCGCCGGTGAGGCTGCCTCCAGTTCGGTGCACGGTGCCAATCGTTTGGGTGCCAATTCGCTGCTGGATCTGGTCGTCTTTGGACGTGCCTGCGCCAAGACCATCGCCGAGCTGAACAAGCCCGGTGCCCCGGCCCCCACCCTCAAGGAGAACGCTGGCGAGGCCTCGGTGGCCAATCTGGACAAGCTGCGCCATGCCAACGGCTCGATCACCACCGCCGATCTGCGTCTCAAGATGCAGAAGACCATGCAGCACCATGCTGCTGTGTTCCGCGATGGCCCCATCCTCCAGGACGGCGTTAACAAGATGAAGGAGATCTACAAGCAATTCAAGGATGTCAAGGTTGTCGATAGGTGGGTAATATGAAATTCCCTACTTTTGGCTTTCGCTAACACTTCTTGGCCTTGTAAAGGTCACTCATCTGGAACTCCGATCTGATAGAGACCCTCGAACTGCAGAACCTGCTGGCCAATGCCCAGATGACCATTGTGAGCGCTGAGGCGCGCAAGGAATCGCGTGGTGCCCATGCTCGTGAGGATTTCAAGGTTCGCGAGGATGAATATGTAAGTTTTTAAATGCCCTCGAAGCATTTGAAAAGTGGTTATAAATGGAAGCTTGTGTTGCTTGCAGGATTTCAGCAAACCCCTCGAAGGACAGCAAAAGAAGCCCATGGATCAGCATTGGCGCAAACACACCCTTTCGTGGGTGTGCAATGACAATGGTGACATTACGCTGGACTACAGAAACGTGATCGATTCGACGCTCGATGGCGAGGTCTCCACGGTGCCACCGGCGATTCGCTCGTACTAAGTGTGGATCTGGAGTTGCACGGACACCCGCATACACAACACATACCATCACACAATCACACGTACGGATGTCTACTTAAACGTCCTTGTGGGCGCCACTTAAATATTATGTCAATGTCGCCAATGTGCTGCAATGTGCTTACAATTCGAAACTCGTAACACGTAACTGAGAACTCGGCAGCGGTTCCTCTTGGCGTTTTGCGATGAAATGTAAAACCAGCTATTCTAAACATCCTATATATTCTTTATATAAATATCAAACTCTGATGTTTCTATTTGTTTTTGTACGCTGCCCTCCATCTGGTTACTGTTCGGTTGTCGGTTATTTACAATTCTACATAAGCGAAAAATGTTGCATTGAGGCGATTTCGACAATAGAGAATAGAAGGTCAGCAAGCAAATGATAACAAATCCAACTACAATTTTCTAGTATTTGTTAAACTTATTAAATTATTAAAAACGAAAACATGTAAAAACAATAAAAAAAACAACAAAAGTCGAAAACATTTGCGATACAGTTAATAAAAGTGATGAAGATTACGAAGGCAAAGCCATTCATTTCTCCATTTAGCCACGGAAAACGTGTATTTGATTGAACTTAATGTCCAGCTGGGTCAAGATATCGACGGCAGCGGCGTTGAAGCCACTTGGTCCACATATGGCCACATAAGTACATCTCTCCGGTTGTTTTTTCTGGAACAAAGGAGTCAGTAGCTCCAAAGAAATCCTCTGCGGATTATCCTCCGCTTGGGAAAGCACATTTGTGCAGCTGAATCTCTCGTCCTGCGTGTGAATTTCCTCTAGTTTCTCCTTCAACCAGATGTCCTCTGCAGTTTTGTTAAAGTAAAAAAGCTGCAGGCTTTCACTGTGGAAGAGATATAGTTACAAATTTGTAGAGTTTTTCTAGTTTTTTATCTTTAAGAACTCACATTCGATTTGTACTCCTCTTCAGCATGGGCTGAATTAAACTTAAAATAGGCGTTAGGCCGCTTCCTGCGGCCAGGAGAAGAATGTTTCTATGTGCAGTGAGCTCCGAGAGCTGGAAGGTTCCACGTGGCGGACTCAGCTGGACGCGAGATCCAACTTGTAGCGCATGCAGATGACTGGAAACGGGTCCATTCGCATATCTTTTGATTACAAAGTTAAGGCATTCGGAATTCGATGGCGCGATCTTATCCAACTGGAGATAGGAATGATCCACAGGTGTGTAGCTGCGTTGCATTGCCGCACCATCCGCCAGTGGGACTTCTATGTCCACGTGGTAACCCACTGGCGGGATCATCAGCACTTCATGCTGAACGCTCTGCAGGCTCAGCTCAAAGGAGTCGTGATTGAAATCCTTGCGGTGAGTTACTTCACAGTCGTAGGCTTCTTCTTGCATGCTGATGGAGTCCAATTTGCTGGACACATGTGTGCCATAAATTGGCCAAGGTGCTGGCTCCATCTTGCCCAGCACCAACTCAATTTTCCCCGTCTCTGTTCCGATTTTCGCCACCTTTGGAGGCCATTCCACCGGGTCGGTTAGCTGAAAGTCGAAAGAATGCCAGATGTGCTGGACCAAAACCCTAACAGCCAGCTGCTGGGAGTCCTTGCGCCGGATTAGCAAGCCAGGATTGGCCAAGCTGCGGGTGTAGAAGATTAGGGTTAGTTCGCTCCTCTGCTGAATCCAATCGAAGCGGGGCACAATCTCCGGAGGCTTCAAAACCGCATTGGCAATTTGAGGAGCATCTTTGGAGGGCTTTGTCTCATTCTCCTTAAGTGGTCCCACATAGCACTTGCCCAACAATTGCGGATAGTTGACCCAGGCGTGCACCTCATCGAACAATTTGGTGGCATCGCGACCAACTCCTCGCATCAGTTCATCCACTCCGCCCGGATGAAAGTCCATGTAGCGGGTGACATTGAAGACACGACCACGAATGGCCATCCAGGCGTCGTCCACTTTGTTATGAAGGGCCAATTCAGTCTTAGAAACGGGCACCACACGTCCTCCGGTTCCGGATAGATCGGCTCCGGAATTGCACAGTCGTATCCAGCTCATCAGGGAGTAGCCCGGCTTCAGGGCACACTTGTTCCGGGGATTGCCGGTGGCCGAGCCAGAAGCGGAGGAGGATGCGCTTCCATTGCAGCTGGCGTTCAGCTTCTGGGGCGCAGTGACGGGTAACTGGAGGCCACCGGTGGATCTTCCTGGAGCCACTAGCTGCGGAGGCCTCATCGGTTGGTTACTGGCGGGCGGTTTGAGTGATGAATCGGACATTATCAGTCCTGAGAAGCGTTAACTGCAAAAATCAACAAGCTGTTTGGTCATGGGCAAAACGGTAACACAGAAAACAGCTGTTTTACCGATTGGTTCCATGTACCAGTGACGGCGGAAGAATGAACTAGTATACCGGTTCATGGCGGTTCAGTTTAAAAATAAACATTAAATCTTGTAACTATGATTTGTTCTCCTGTTAAAAAGAAAATAGTTTAATTTTATTGAAAACAATGCAACATTTTTTTTATCAAAACAAAAATAAAATAGCAAACTAATAAACATCTTTGCAATTATACATTTTTTGCTGATGTTTCCTTGATTGCTTTTAGCTTATTATAATGCTTACTTACTAACACAAAAAGTGAGACTTTAATGTCCTGCGAATTTGTTTGTATTTTTCCAAGGAAATTAAAAACGTAAAATTTCCAAAAAAAAAAACATCAGTAGCAAATGGTTTTTTACCAATTTAAAAAATAACCATAAATCTGCACTTTGTTTAAAAAAATAATATATATTTTTTATATATGACCTATTTCATATATACACAATTTTTAAACATATTTTCTATTAATCGTTTAAAAAATATTTTAAAATGTTAAATCCATGGTAAGTATTGAATTTTATATCTGTTCCATTCAGGGTCCACATAATAAAATATGTGGCACGTTGTCCATAATAGTTAAGAGCCATGAATTTCAGCAATATAAAACTAATCTTACCACTTATGCGTTATAATTGATAAGTGATTTTTATGATGTCAGATCTTTGCAACCGAAAGATTACTGCCTAGTTTTAGTTTGTAAAAAGTAGAGGGGCTTCGATTTGAAGTATAATTAAGTTTTTATTCGTATACAATACACTATAAAGTCAAATTAGAATATGTATCGATGGTAGTCCGCCGGCCATTCAATAAGGACCGCCGTGTCGGGGAAGGTTTCGGCAAACTTCTGAGCAGTTAAATCGCCTTTAGTATGCATAAACTGTCGACCAATACCAATTTGTGTGAGTGGTACGTTGAAGTCCCCATTGGATTTCTAGAAAATAAAAACGAATACCATTTGATACTCATTTCTAGGAATAAGAATCAGCAATAGCTTACTTTTATCTCAAGTGTAAGGTTTACGGGCGATCCATCCACGCCATAGGTAAAAAACAGATAATAGGGCGGGGTACTGGCCAGTAAGCTATCGAGTAACGACCAACTGCTGATGGTCACGTCCTCGAAGGGCTGGATATACAGAGTCGAATGGTCTGTGAAATTGATCTTGAACTCGAGACGCACGGTCTGGCCATCTGCCAAAACGGTTTTGCTCAGGAGCTCCAAGGGGCTATCAGTTGAGGGTTCTATGGGTACATCCCTGGCCAGCCAAGTGCCATTCAGACGACTCTTCACATAGCGAGCATCGGGATATGGTACACCGCACATCATGTACTTTGCACAATCAGATGCCATGCTCACCATACCAGCTAGATCCACGTTGGCCTCCACCAAAGGAGCACTGCCACGACGATCCTGGAAATTGAACAGATATCCAGACTCATCCTTGCTGACGGTGCCATCGTATTCGTAAAAGGTTCGACGCACATGCTGTGAAATGTGTATGCGCACAGATCAGTTAATAAAAGTGACCTCAAGTGACCGCTTCAATTATATCACTTACCAAATAGTAAACCCTTTCGACATTAGTTTTGGGACGATATGGGAAACCGATTTCCGTGGAGCTAGCAATGTAGATAGTGGCAGCACTTATGGCCAACAAGACCACAAGAATAAAGCCCGATCGACGTGACACATTTATCAGCAAAATCTAGGGATATAAGTTAAACCACTTGATAAATCAAAAGCAATGGGAAAACATACCAAAAAGCCCATTGAAAAAATGGTTCCCAAAGCAGCCAAAGCTGAAATGATCAAGTCAGGATTGGTGGTCCTGAAAAACAAATTAAAAAAATAGAGATCAGTAGCCATTCCCTCCCAAAAACCTAGTCTTGTCACACTCACTGTCCAAAGCGACCCATCATGGGGGTAAGTATAACGATGAATGTGTAGAACAGATAGCTGTTGTACAGGAAAGGGCACACCTGAATTATCTTGACGATTCCCGTCCACGAGAATCCTCGATCCTGGAGTGTGGTCACCAAATTGAGAGCCATGGGTATGACGTAGAACACAAGGGTCCATGTGATGACATAGGTGGTACGCAGGCCATAGTAATTTATGGCAATCCCAAGCACTGACAAGACAACTGCATGTCCATGAAGAGCCATTTGCAATTGGTGGGCATAAGTTAGTTTTTCCTGTTAATAAAATGAAAGCTTACATTACAAGTTTACCACATAAAATTTAGTTTATATAACTCACATTCTTCTGCAGCTTGAGGTAGATGACACTGGGTAGGGCAAGTCCCAAAAGACTCGGACTCACATAGAGGCCAAGTGAAAGTGCCGGAGTGCTGAAGTAGGTGAGGGACAGTCCGTTCTTGTCGAACATGTAGGCGATCACTATTGGCAGGGCCAGGCCCAAGACAAAGGCAACCACTTGGAGGACAAGGATGAGGACAAACCAGCTCAGTACCTGGGCGGAGGTAACATTCGAAACGTCTGCAATGCGCAAGAGGGATACATAAACCAGTACGATTGCGATGCCGGCCACGGCATAGTTAAGCGTTTTGCCATCATCTGCCGAGTAACTAACGAAGAACAGTCCCAGGACATCAAAGAACACTGCTTTTCCGGTTTCCTAAAATATCGCAAATGATTAGAGAAAACATTTTTTCTGTGCTCAACAAGAACGTACAGTGTTGTCAGCCAATTCTGGTGCATTTGCCAGAGCGCGTACCAAACCCAAAAGGTTATCGCCCGTGTTTTGAATGGATCCCCTTGGTATAACATCATATCGATCGTACTTTGTGTGATAGACGAAACCGTTGCAAACCAGACCAATATCATAACCTGCGATTACGAATGATTTAATCAGCATTTCCGCATGTGAGTGTCTTTCGGTTTGGTTGCTTACCAACGAGGTTACCATAGTCGGAGAAGATGCTGAAATCAGTGTCCGACGGTATGATGCCAGTTTGGAAAATTTCCTCAGCCATTGTGGTTGCAAACGGATGCTCAGCGTTCTGTTTGTAGTACTGCAAGGAAATAGATCGATTGATTGGAGTACCCCTCTATAAAGACTGCACCAAAGCTATTACCTTGACAAGCCAGGGGTTGTTGGGTCCTGTCTGGAATAAAAGCTCCCGACAGCCACTGCCAGCTGCATCCAAATTTATGACAATCCTTAAAAAATATAAATTAAAGTAAAGTCAAGAAAATAAAAGCGATTTTAACTAACTTGCAGAATGGTGCCCATTTGTGTGAGCTGATGAAACCGTGCGATCCCTGCAGGGAATTCTCCTCGGAACCGTTGAAGAGAAAGATAATGGTGTGCGTCAACTTTTCACTGGAGGTTGTGATTATTCTGATCACCTCCAACATGGTCACAATCATGTGACCCGCATCACCGGCAGACGGACTTGTGGGCTTTGAGTCAAAGTGCGAGTTGACCAGTAGGTAATTTTGGCTCGTGCTGCCCTTTGGCGTTATTTTAACCACAATATTTTGCACACCCTGGTACTGATACTGCGCACCGTTCCTCAAATACGATCCATAGGCAATCTGGTGGTCAGTCTCCATGTCAAAATAGTCTTCCCGAACATTTGCCTTAATAAGTGCCAGTTCCCGCAGTATAAATTGAACTGTTTTATGCTCATTTCCATCGCTTCCGACCAATTTGATGCCAATCTTTGCGAAGTCATATAGATTATCCTGGGCCCGTTCGGCAATGAAGACACCCTTGGAGGCGTCTTCGATGGTATTTCCCTGGGGCAGGCGGTGGAAGAGTGGCACGACGACTGCCAGGAAAAGAGAGGCCCAGAAAAGGACGAATCCACCGGCCATGTACCAAGGAATTTTGGGGTTCTGCACCTTTTTTCCCACATTTTTCTTCACAGTGGCCGACTCAATGGAATCGTCCGACAACTGAAAGAATATATCACTTATGGTATCAAAGAATTTTTTAACTTTAGTATATTATATTACAAGTAGGTCCTTATCACCCATTCTGCTGATCTGTGGCTGCGGCCCGGAACGTTAACCCCTTCACAATGGAACTGAGTGAAAATGGAAGGTTTTTATATTCCAAAGCGGGCGGACTTTAACTAGCCCTTGAAAATGAATTAGCATTTTAGTTATCGTACATACGTCTGGTAATTTAGATTATGGCTTATTACCTATTTGATGTAATAAAATCGAGGGTGGAATAAGAATAACTTCTACTAATCCGAATTAAAATAATTTTTTTTATTTGAAGAATAGGTTCCTTTAAAATATAAGCGAATTTTTTTTAAAACAAGAAAACTTCAAATTTAATTGCAAATAAATGAAAATTGCAATTAAAGTCTCTGTCAATATCTTAATTATAAAGGTATTTAATTAATAATATTAAAAAAGTCATTAGAACAAATCGTACCCCTCTTGCAAGATTCAAAAGTGAACTTAATCGTAATGTCTCAAGCAGTTTCACACGCCTTTAACGATAACCGATCTTTATGGTTCCAGACCCACCACAACCTAATGATTGTTAGCGAAGATATTGGTCTACACCTGGATTTGAAGAGTCAATTAAGGCTAAGGCCTTTTTATTGCTACAATTGTGCACCCAGCCACTGGTAATTATTTATAATTTATAAAAGCACTCGCAATAGCAAAACTAAAATGTAAATAATGTGAATAAAATCGTCATCTTTAATTATTATAAGTTTAAATAAAACTCAAGTTATTATAAGTTTAATTAAATATAAATATGTTAGGATGGGTTGAAATTGGATGGACCCAATAAAACATTCAGATTTTAGAAGAGGTTAATTTCTGCAAATCAGGATATCCAACCGGTTTTGTAATCATTATTCTTAACTGGTATAACCGAATAACCAAAACAGTTACCTTAACCGGGACCGAAATAGATGGCAACCGCAATAACCGTAGCCGATGTCGAAT